AGGGGAAAACTGTATTATTTTAAGAAAAATAATTATGCAATCTAATTTTTCTTACAATACACTACACAACTAAATATTCTTTTGTAAAAGTTTATTTCTACTTTAAATGTTTTTAGCAGATATTACAACTGGAAAAAAAATCATCCATTCAATATCTTGTACCTAGTGCACCAATTACATTTTGTAGCACTTTTTACTTATTTTTAATTAAGAGCAAGTAAAGTTATCAGCTAAGCTGCCATTTATAGTGACCACGAGAGGGAGACATTTACTTTTTCATGTAATGTACAACAGCGCCAGTGTAAGGAAGCTTGCGCTCACTGACACATCTTTATGTGAATAAGAAAGCACTGTCATTTATGATCCCAATGTTACTTTTATATATCAAATAATCTAGATAACACTGAAAGCACTAAAAAAATATCTGCAGGTCACTTTGTAAAAGTTATACATCCGTAGAGATTTTACAGATTGGAGCTCACCAATACTACCAAGATTTATTTTTGTAGTTTTCATCTGCTACATAATCTGTACCAGTTACTAGATTAAAGGTGTATAGTAGACATCCTTGATGATAGTATATCTGATATTATGCATTGCGTTATATAACACTCTATCAATTGCATACCTACCAACTTTCTGAGACCAGAAAGAGGGACACCTTCCAGCATAATGTATTTAGGCATTAGACACACCCCTGTCATGTCCCCAGTTATGCAGACTATTAAGAATTTATATGCAGAGAATAATTGGTAAAATTGTTTTTTTTTTTTTTTTAATATATTTGCAAAATAGTCAAATAGATAATTAGGAAGGGTTTAAATGCAAAATAACACTGTTGGTAGTTTAATAGAACATGTTCATAGATATCTGTACATCAGACCAAAAAGAAGGACAACTGAGGAGGAAAAAGGGACAGAGGCACTTGGTTCCCCCCAGATTAATCACAGTTTGGGGGTATGCAATTATTTATGCCCTGCAGTCACTAGGGATTGACCCGGACAGTACCGGTTTTGAAGGCTGTGTCCAGGTTACATAGCAGATGAGACCCAGATACAATATGTCAGGCCGACCGGGGCTACCAAAATTAAGATAGGGGCTACTGGCTCCCCACTGAAAAATTGACTTGGCTGTGATACTTACATATGAATGCTGCTACTCATTCATATGTAGATAACACGGTTAAATTATGTACAGGTGAAACTCGAATAATTAGAATATCGTGCAAAGTTCATTTATTTCACTAATGCAACTTAAAAGGTGAAACTAATATATGAGATAGACTCATTACATGCAAAGCAAGATAATTCAAGCCGTGATTTGTCATAATTGTGATGATTATGGCTTACAGCTCATGAAAACCCCAAGAACCCCAAATCCACAACCTCAAAAAAGTAGATTATTACATGCAATCAATAAAACAAGGATTGTACATAGAACAATATCGGACCTCTGAAAAGTACAAGCATGCATATGTACTCAGTACTTGGTTTGGGCCCCTTTTGCAGCACTTACTGCAATTACTTTTGCACGATATTCTAATTATTCGAGTTTCACCTGTAAATGTGGCATCTTACCCTTCCCCATTGTACAAGGCGGTAAAGTTCTGGCAGTGTCTCGGCGCGGGAAAGATATTTCAGCTTGTCTTTTTCTTGTTTCTCTATCTGTATCTGTCTGTGCGTGTAGCTATCAGCCTCTCTGGTTAACAGACATATTGTATAGCTCTCTCATGCCATTTTGCAGCCCTCCAACACTTTAATTCACTTTAAATGAAACCCCTGGCTGCTTTACATTTTCTTACATAGTTTTGAGAGTAAAATCTCTGGAAAAGACTCTGAGTATCTGCACAGCCACATAAGGGTCCGTATAACACACCTGAGAGCCTGAATAGCTCACCAGAGTGTCCACAGAGCCCATCTAGAGTCCGCATAGCCCACCGGAGAGTCTGCATAGCCCACCGGAGAGTCTGCATAGCCTACCTAAGAGTCTTTTTAAAATGTGATCATTCCTAATATTAATTTATAGTCACACTGTTATAGTGTATGTCGGGGGAAAAATCAAAACAAAAATATTTAGTACCTCTCTCCAATGCACATTTGCCCATGTTTTGTTCCTATAAAACCACTACAAGTACAGAAAAATTGCTTTTAAAAGAAATGCCTTTCTTAATTTTTTTAACATCATTTTTGTTTTTTTGTTTGGTAAATAGAAAAAAAAATCACCAAGGAGCCATAGTATTTTAAAAACTGAAATAATGAATTTGCATCAAAAAACACCCAAATAAACCCACAAAAAAGGACAAAATTTGAACACAGTATGAGCTGCACTTACCTGCAGATGGCCATGTGGATGTAATCAAAAAAGCTTCCAAGGTGACCTTGAAAGCTTTTCTAACCATAGCTATATGCACACAATGTTGTCATTGGCACCATTTACACTATGTGAAATGCTGCAAATGGCTGAAGTGAGTATAGCTGTGCATAGAAAATATAGGGAAGTGCTGCATCCAGGCTCAAATTGTCACCAGTATCCACAACTAATCCTAACTACTCGCATGCCACAATTATCTCCAATTAGCTGCATTGTGACTAGTTATGAAAAATACAGAATTTCTAGATATCTCCCAGAAATGGGCTGGGATTGATGACCAGGGCCGGTGCTAGGATTCTTGCCTACACAGGCAAGGTGCATTTTTGCGCCCCCACCCCCTCCCCCCCTGTAAAAACAGGACATTTGTACTTGTCAAAATGCCCCAATGTTTGCGCTATGGTTTTTTTTTCACTTACCTTCGGCGCGGGAGAGCAGCGGTGAGTCAGCGCTGGTCCGGTGGGAGGAGCTCCAGGTGGGGTCCTAATTTAGCTGGCCGGCGACTGCCTGAGGTGCCGCACGTGTCGGCACCTCAGGCAATATTTGAGATATAACAGTAAGAGTATTAACTTAACGATATGATTTAACAAATATGTTTCATGGTAAAATGTTGCTAACTGTTCCATGTTAGGATTGTTCCAAATACAGTAAACTCCCCGTTATCCAGCATCCACAGGGATTGGTAGATTCTGGATAAATGTAGTTTCTGGTTGCTTAAGTGTTAGTCTTAAAAATAGGTCTAACTAATGCCATACCCCATACTATACCATATCATAACATAAACTCTGTATTGACTTCATATTAATATTGAAATACAGTAATCAAAATCAAATTAAGACAAATAGACATAGGTTGTTTCCAGGATAATACATGCCGCACATCAGCAGAACAGTGAGTACACAGGGGATTTTTTTTCTGGTTAGATGAAAGTTCTGGTTAGTTGAATACTGGATAACAGAGAGTTTACTGTATGTTACTTGCTAGAGCTGATTGCATGTAAACTTTTACCATCATTTACATTGAGTTTGCGCACGTCACCCCTGCCATGTGCCTTCTCTGTGCTTTCACTACCTCCTCCCGCCTACTCTCTGCACTTTAGGAGGAGCTGTTCTAACCTCTCTCCCCACACTGCCTCCTGGTCCTGAGCTGCAGGTAATAGTGTTTGTCTCTGTGTGTATCACTGTGTTTGTGTATGTGGCGGTGTGTGTGTGTCACTATATTTGTGTTTGTCTGTGTCTGTCTCCGTGAGCTTGTAAGCCTCTTCAAGTCATAGTGCCCAATTCATATGCTTCTGTGTACTCTTCACTATGTGAAATGTTATATTTAAAGGAGAATTATGAGGCAAGTGATTTTCACTCAGCCTCATAGTTCTAGCCGACCAGTGACAGTGAAACTGTCACAGGTCGGCTCAGTAGAAGTTAGCGAACACATACCGTCGCTCGCTCACTTCTCGATCTATCCCTGCAGAGAGCCGTGACTGTCACTGACAGCTCCGTGCAGGGATCCCCCCTTCCCTGTACGACCCCCCCTCCCCTGTACGATCCTCCAGCGTTGACTGGCAAGGCAGACGGGGGAGGGGGCGGGCACAGCTGGCTCTGCCTCTGGATAGGCAGAGCCAGCTGTCAATCACGCAGCTGGGTGGATCTTGACAGCAATGTCGGGATCCACTCCGGCTGCGACGTCTCAGTATACTGCAAGCTGTAGCTCGCAGTATACTGAGCTTTGGGTCACGGGAGAACGCTAGATTGTGTTCTCCCGTGACCCTTAGGAGAACTATGGGGAAAAGCCCTGACCCCATAGTTCTCCTTTAACTGATAGATAATTATATACAATATATATCTAAGTAAATAAAAGAGAGATAACTTTACTGTAGAAGGTTTCAACACTGTAAGACACAATTTGCATACATCACAGCCCTCCCAAATGTGGATTTCTGGCACCTAATCCTGTCCACATACATTTTATTTTGGATAACTGAACTACATTTTATTCTGGAATAATAAATGGTTTACTTTTTAATTAAACACATACTATATCTGTAAAAAATAAGTCAAGGCAACTGGACTTGCTTTATTTTTATTGAAGACGTTTCACAGGTCATCCGACCAGCTTTCTCAATTCAGAATGACTTGAACAAAAGTTCTCTGGAAATAAATATGGTGACTGTTGCTCCAATCCACATATTCTGTTAATCGCAACCAGGTGTCTCTCTGCGAGAGAGGTGTTAAAACAGCATTGTATGTGGCAAAAGAAGCCAATATGAACGTTTTGGCATCATTATGCCACGGGACGTTTCATACCCACTAAACCAGGTTCCAAGAAAATACATGTTCACTGTGCACACCATCCAGTGTGTTCATCTGACAGTCCCGTGGCATGAACACACTAAACCACTTCTCCCACGTTCTGGGGTGGGAGGAGGTGTGGCTGTGCCATTCATTTTAGTGGCACCGCAAGCACACTGCCCGCACTGGAACATGTGGTACCGCAATGCTCTGCATGCCAGTTGGAATGATTGCATACACTATTTTTTTGCAATTGCACCGCACTGGAATGCATGGCATTGTGGTATCACGCGTTCCAGTGCAGGCGATAGCACTGCGGGCGGAAGGCTTGCTTGCGGTGCTACTGAAATGAATGGCACCGCTACACCCCCTCCCACCCTAGAACGCAGGCAGGGTAGGATTAAGCGGTCCAGTGTGTTCATGCCATGGGACTGTGAGATGAATGCACTGGATGGTGTGAATGGGCCCTCATTGAGGTGTCACAGCTTCTCCTTCTTCTGCAGGAGAGAGAGGTGAGTTGGGCTGCCCAGTGATGTTGCCAGGAGGGCCCGGGGAAGCTCCTCCCAGTGGTAAATGCAGCTATGGTCTGTGTGTGAGGGAAGGCAGCCAAGTGACATCCTATATTAACTCCTATTGACAATGCACGCCGGGCTACTCATGTACCGACCAGGGGGTAGGAGGTAGAGCTCCATGTACTGCATGGGGCTGGCACCCAGGTGTACCAGGCAATACCGCACTTTGCATTATCATCCACTGACACTCAGCAGCGGCTCTGCTAATCCTCTACAGGAGATCAGAGAAGAATGTGTTCATCAGCTGACTTTATTTAATTCATACATATAAAGGCAGGGGAAACAAATAACCATTTTGTACCCCCTCATTAATTTCTATACCATGTACCCCTTTTATACTATGTAACTCTATTATACTATATAACCCTATTATACTCAATCATACCCTTCAAGGCAGTCCTCAAAGTGGGGCAAAATGGGCTGTTGCCCCAGGCCTAGTCATTGTTGTTTGGTCCAAAGCAGCTGTCCCTTTTGGCTTCCAAAAGATACACACATGGGCGGCTCTAGTGTAAGGTTGACCCAGTGACAGTCATCTGCTGTCTACTGTGTGATCGGGGCTGCCTGGTCTGTCTGCAGAGGAGACGATGGGCCACGAGAATTCCATTTATTGGGAGGGGCATAGGGTTAACCCTGTGTGTCTTGGGGCCTCCAGTATTATTAGGTGCCTTCATGTCAGTTCCTGTCACTGTGCGCTCCCTCATTGCCATTCAGCTGCCCCTTGAGCCCATCCAGTGCATTCATTATTGTTCTCCGTTCTCCATGAACACTTAGTGTCACCAGCTGGCTCCGCTACACTCAGTGTCACATTTTCCACGACTTCTGCTCCACGTAACTGTTTTTTTATTACTATTGCCCATAGTTCAGAAAGATCAACACATCTACTGTGACCTCTTCTGATTCCTCCCCTCAACATTCCTCTTCCTGTTGCGACTCTACATACAGAATCAAAAGGCAGAAACTTGAATGGCGGGCACACACACACACGACATGACTGTGTGGAGAGAAAAAGTAGATCAGACAAAGCTGTTTATAGTCTTGCTGCCATCAGGGCCAGCACTAGTGCAAGGCTGCACAGGCAGCCACCTGAGGGCACCTGTGCCTTTGCCTGTGTAGGCAAAATCCTTGCATAGGCCCTGACCACATGTATACTTTTTTCCTCTCCTAGGTCAGCTACCTTGCCTTCCTCCCAAAACCTTTTCTTGGAGGAGCTGCTGGGCATCAGGAGAGACAGTAATTTCCGCCCAGTAGGATCCAAGACAGTTTCATGGACTTGGTGCAGCTCTTAGCAGCAATAGCGCCCTAGGCCACAAGCTATATAATTAGTGGAAATCCTGCCCTGTACCTAGCATTACCATGACCTAAATACATCACCATCTTTTTGAAAAAAATATTCCTAGTATGAGCAAACATAGCAGCAAAATGACATAGATTCACACCCTTGCACCACTGACGTTGGGCTTCAGGGGAAATGCTAAATGTCATGCAGATGAATTATACAATTTTGCTTTTTGTTTATTAAGTTGGCTGTATAATTAATTAATATATATATGCACAGTATAGATTTGTATGTGTATATATACACTATATTGCCAAACGTATTGGGACACCTGCCCTTGCACGCACATGAACTTTAATGGGACCCCAGTCTTAGTCTGTACGGTTCAATATTGAGTTGGCTCACCCTTTGCAGCTATAACAGCTTCAAGTCTTCTGGGAAGGCTGTCCACAAAGTTTAGGAGTAAGTCTATGGGAATGTTTGACCATTCTTCCAGAAGTGCATTTGTGAGGTCAGGTACTGATGGTGGATGAGAAGACCTGGCTAGCAGTCTCTGCTCTAATTCATCCCAATGGTGTTCTATCGGGTTGAGGTCAGGACTCTGTGCAGGCCAGTCAAGTTCCTCCACCACAAACTCACTCATCCATGTCTTTATGGACCTCTCTTTGTGCACTGGTGCGCAGTCATGTTAGAATAGGAAGGGGCCATCCCCAAACTGTTCCCACAAAGTTGGGAGCATGAAATAGTTCAAAATGTCTTGGTATGCTGATGCCTTAAAAGTTCCCTTCACTAGAATTAAGGGGCCAAGCCCAAGCCCTAAAAAACAACCCAGCACCATAATCCCCCCTCCACCAAACTTTACACTTGGCACAATGCAGTCAGGCAATACCGTTCTCCTGGCAACCGCCAAACCCAGATACGTCCATTGGATTGACAGACAAAGAAGCGTGATTTGCCACTCCAGAGAACACATCTCCACTTCTCTAGAGTCCAGTGGCGGTGTGCTTTACAACCTCTGCATCCGATGCTTTGCATTGCACCTGGTGATGTAAGGTTGGATGCAGCTGCTCGGCCAAGGAAACCCATTCTATCAAGCTCTCTACGCACTGTTGTTGTGCAAATCTGAAGGCCACACAAAGTTTGGAGGTCTGTAGCTATTGACTCTGCAGACAGTTGCCGACATCTGCGCACTGTGCGCTTCAGCATGTACTGACCCTGCTCTGTCATTTTACGTGGCCTACCACTTTGTGGCTGAGTTGCTATTGCTCCCAGTTGCTTCAATTTTGTTATAATACCACTAACAGTTGACCGTGGAATATTTAGTAGCAAGGAAATTTCACGGAAAACCTAAAACCAAAAATTTGGAGGGGTGTCCCAATACTTTTTCTAATACAGTGTGTGTATATATATATATATTTTTTTTTTATTATTCTTAATCCAAACAATTATACATTGCCTTACATCCATAAAAAAAAATCCTATGTATGTCATACCCAAGCTATACCCAGCTTTGTTTCCCCCTCTCTTCACAATCTTTCATTATTTATCTGTTCTAATCATATCCTTTTACTCTTACATTGATATTAGCACCCCTCCACTTAGTGCATCGATAAGTGTTGTGAGATTTATCTTCAAATGGTAGAACCTTAAGGATGTAGTCCACTCGCAAACATGTTCTTTTTAGGCCTACCCGCCCACTTTTATTTAAACGTTCACACCAGTTTTCCCTCACAGGGGTTTCTCCAACATAAGAACACAACTATAGCTTTGTCTTTAAACAAAATAACGTGTTTCCAAGTCTCACTGACTTCAGGTTATTACTTTAAACCCCTCCCACAGAGATTGCATCCAACAGACTTGCCACACTGGCTGGTTCCAGGATGGAGTCCTCATGACTCCTGGACAGACACCTTTGTTTTCCAGGTGGAACCCTGAACCAGCATCCTTTTAATAAGTTTTGTGCACAGGTGCACCATCATTCAGTGCTGGCAAAACAAATGGCAAACGCACTCATCAATTCATTACCAGCCTTACAGCAAGGTGCACATGGAAGGGCTTCAAACAGTAAAACAGCAAAAAGTTTCCCAGCACACTTGCCAGCCAGCATGCAAAAAAACATGTCTAACCACTAAGGTTAAAAGCAGAGGTTTAGATACACTTCTTCTGCAGAAAATGTGAAAGCCGCACAGCCACGTCAAGGCACCTCCATATTATGCGGTCCTAACTCTAAACTATGAGAGTCTCCATCTTGGAGCACATGGGGCAGAAGATTAAATTGGGTGCAGGTTTGTCAGGAGGAAGCCCAACCTCCCTTAAAGGCACAGGGACACACAAAGGACCCTGCACATCACAACGGCAGCTGAGGCCCCCCATGCGTCACTGCACCAAATCAGTCAAGCAAAACAAATGGCAAATGCACTCATCAATTCGTTACCAGCCTTACAGCAAGGTGCACATGAAAGGCTTCAAACAGTAAAACAGCAAAAAGTTTCCCGTCATACTCACCAGCCAGCATGCAAAAACCTGTCTAACCACTGAGATTAAAAGCAGAGGTTTAGATAAACATCTTTTGCAGAAAATGTGAAAGATTAAATTGGGCGCAGGTTTATCAGGAGGAAGCCCAACCTCCCTTGTTTTGCTTGACTGATTTGGTGCCCTTATTATGTAGCGCTACCACAGACCTTACAGTCATTCAATAAAGAGTCAGTTCTACACCCCAACTCCCTAAACAAAGGAACATAATATCTCTCGTATCCTAGCTAATGTAGCTTTTTATCCTGGTTCTAAGCAGTAGATGGGAGCTCGCTACTGTGATATTGTATTTAAATCAACTAAAACTAAACTATACTTTTTAATACAAAATTGCAGTGATACATAGATCAGTATTTTCTTTGTTGTATCTGGCTGAGCCCATCAGCTTTCAGATTGTCTGTTTATTGAAAATAAGGGTAGTGACTCATTAGTCTGTAATGTAAGCTTGGCTGCTATCAGAGAAAGTGAACTGCATTACATTCAGAACTCTAACAACCTTCTTCAGATAAATGAATTAAGTGAATAATTGCATTTGTGAACAGAACATAACCTTCAGATCACAATAAAGAAAATAATATGTTTCTATACAAAATACCCATATGACTTCTAGTTTCAGTAGACAATTTTACATTTTATTATCCTCAAAAACTTCAGACCAGAAAAAGTAATCATCTAATGTTCTAGGAAGAATTTAGGATTTTAAGGGTCATCTACAAATAGTTATAACTAAAGCATACATAAAAAGAATGACTATCCTTCCTGAACACAGGGTGATCACAGCTGACCAGTTAATAAGCAAAGGGCTACAGCATGTTTAAAGGAGAGGCTTTTCCCCATAGTTAGGGCTTTCCCCCATAGTTCTCCTAAGGGTAACGGGAGGACACAAACTAGCATTCTCCTGTCACCCAAAGCTCAGTATACCGCGAGCTACAGCTCACGGTATACTGAGACGCTGGAGCGGATCCTGACAATTATGTCTGGATCCACCCAGCTGTGTGAGTGGCAGCTGGCTCTGCCTTTCAGGAGGCAGAGCCAGCTGTACCTGCCCCCTCCCCCGTCCGTTCCGCCAGTCAGCGCTGGAGGATCGGACAGGGGAGGGGGGAATCCAGTCATGCATAATGTTTGCAAATAACGTTGGCAAACTTACCTCTAACTTTGGCCTCTTTCAGAGATGACAGGTCCACGCTCCCTCTCATTGGTCTCTCGCAGCCACTGCCATCTTCTTGGATTCTTCTTCCCACCCAATTTCTGCTTTCTTTGCAGCCATTGGGTATAACCCCTAATCATGAACGGTCAAGAGTGGGAGGAAAATGTACACTGTGAATCTATAAAGGAGTTCCAATTGCACACCTGTTGGGCTGTAAGAAGCACCCTGTTGTTTTACAGGGAAGAATCTCTTCTATTACATAGAATAATAAGCTCTTAAATATCATGGTTTAAGTAATATAGGTTTGTAATATGGAACCCTTACCTGTCTAACCCTAATAATTAACCTAAATGCTAATATATTAGTTCGAGCAACTATATTACCTTAAGGCTGGAAGAACTGGAAGAACTATGGGGGGGGGGGGGTTATCAAAGCAATTGCAACAGTTTTAGCCTCTTAGATATTTTTTTTAATGTGCAAATCTGTCTTTTAACATGTGCCCTTGTTTTGACCTGAGCTTGCACGTGCTTTGCGCCTGTTTTGATCTGCACTTGTTCTGCAGCTGTCTGAAACTGGAGCATCACCTAAGAAAACAATCACATCCTAAGAAGTCCCCATGACCATTTTTTCAAGAAGCAACAGTTAAGCTTTTTGTCTGGAGTTACAAGTCTTCTTTCCTGGAGTCTATTTAACCTTATTTATGAACAACATTACACTAGCAACATAAATCTGGTGCAAAGTGCATCAAATATATTTCATGCAAGTTCAAACACTTTCAAGCAATTGCTATGATAAATTCCCCCCCACTATATTTGAAAAAAAGTAAAGGACCACTTTGCAAAAGCTAATGTATTAAGCGTTTTTAATTTTCTGTGTTATTTGCCTTTTTCTTAATTGAAAATTGATTTTTTTTCATTACCCTTGAAAATTATTGTGCATTTAATATGAAAATATTTTCTCAATAATTTACTACACTAAATGAACTTTTACTTTGCTGAATGTACATTCCTAACTATCAGTTTAAAATATTACTAGCTTTATACTGGTGATACTATAGGTATCGTTGAGGGGTCTGATGAGAAGGGCAGGAAAAGAAGCTGACATGGGTTGGTGACAAAATAACACATCCTGAGAGAAAATAACAGTAAAATCTCAATTCTATGTATGATACCTATCTTTGTAAAGGAACATTTTTGGACACTGACTATAATTAGACAAAAAAATGACCCCTGTTGGATAACGCATCCAATATTTTACTAGATTACTAGATTTACT